TCTACTAGGGAGCAACAACCCCTCTGAGGCCCAATGGGGGCCCATGCTTTCTTTTCAGGACTAGGATTCGGCTCTTGGACAGAAACATTGGATGGGAATGGTTCGTATATAGGAATCGTGAACTGCCAGATATTTGAAATTGAAAGGTATGATGAAAAACTTTATAAGCAAAATTAAATTTTATTGAAGCAAAATGCAAGATTTTTTTTCTCGTTCGTCCTAAGTAACTACTGTCTCCCTGGATCTTCTGAGTCTTCCTCCCAGCATCCCATGCGCCCAAGAGTAACAGACGTCCATGCTCGTCACGTCTCCACACGTGACCCCAGCGACTCTGCCTTCTGTCTTTCAGTGCACTAAATCCCTCCACTTTTGCCATGCTTCTCTCTATTCAATGTACACTCTTACATCCTTGATTCTTAAACATTGAGGATACGTCCAGTTCTGTTGCTTCTCAAACTGGGCACGGAAAAAAAACTAAAGCAAACTAACAAAGCAACGAAGCACTTATTAAATATCTTTTACTAATTGACACTGACCATCTTCAAATATTAAATAATAATGGTCCATAATGTCAGCGATAGTGGTGGTAACAATAATAATAATTGTTAGACACATTTTACGTACTATTATGAATTTTATTGTATTTCCTTCGAGTGTTACAAATAATGAACAGCAAATACCCACATTAAAATGTTCTGTTTTATATAATTCTTGTCATTTTAATTTTTTATTTTACGCTTTTTTTGGGGGGGGGGTTTTATTTTTCCCAAAATTCAGTTCACGTTTACACTTTTGATTCCCCTCATTTATTTCGTATGACTGTCACGCTCTCGTCTGTTTTTCTTTGATTTTCTGTGAAACTTTCTTTTTAGCTTACTGAATGATCTTATTAGGTACGAACTATTCTTATTATAGGGTTTTCGTCTTTTTGTTTCTTTTTTTCTCCTTTCGCCTTTGTTCAATCAGCTCACACCTCAATCTTCGTTAGTTTGATTATTGTTTAATCGCAGAATACGTAACTACGGATGAAATCGTGAATATGACGTACACCGTCGTAAAACCTTACAAAAAATTGTTTTCTTACATTCCATTATTAAATATTATTAGGGTGTATCATTTCTCTACGCGTTCCATCCTAAAACACGGCGGACGTAAGCCGCACGCAAGATGAGAGTCTCACGCTAATTAAATCTTCGATTAGATTATTTATGTAAACACGTAATGAATTTCTTACCTCCGATGGACATGCGAAAGGCATCGCAAATTTCAAATTTCGCGCGCTCTTATCGCAACTTGCGATTTTACTATTACGCACATATACATACCTATGCATATCTTATGTATATCCGTAATTCGTAATTTCTCATTAATCACATACAACACACCTTTATACAAATATGTATATACGATATAACAAAGATGTCTCGCAGCGTCATAACGATTTAAAAACAAAAAATATCTTCTTTGTGAACACCCCTGACTTAACGTATATCGCAAGAAAGTATTATTCGCATAAAGCAAATGTTCGATGATAGCTAAATATCGAAAAATCACCTTAATAATTTCATTAAAAAAAGAAATTCTTAGCGTAATTAAAATTTGTTTATCTCGTAAAACGTATCGTTAATAATAATCAATAATTAAAACTACTGTATCACCTGTGTACACGATCATCGAGGAGGTATTTAGAAATGAAGACAGCCAAGCTAATAATACATTTTTGCATCAGTCAATACCTCCCCAATGATCCATAGTGAAAATCGTTGTTTGTCTGGCTCCATTCGCCAATATAATCGCCAGGCCATTTTATTTTTTTCCACTTGTTATTTATCTTATTTTCTCTCTTTTTCTCACTACGCATTATCAATTATCTGTACACGGAACACGCCAATGTCAATGGAATATTCTAAGGTCGACGAGTGGGTCGCGGGTTCGCTAATATGGCGCAATTTTCTCAGGACTCCCGAAACCCTCGTAGATTTCGCGTGCGAAATATTCGCACCCGCATACACGTATACGCACAGAAGCACGAATAGCACGCAGTTACTTTTGCAAAATGATAGGCATTCGCAAATCCTTACTGCGATACCATTGGCGTGAGCTAACTTAAACCGGATGACATATACAAATTCGCAATTGTTAAAGAGACCTGATTAATTGGCGAAAACTACTGTGGAGAATTAACGAGCAACGTATAGCGTTAATTGTGCAATTTCAAAATGGATTATAGTCAAAGAATAATGTATACGCATAGTTCGATTCCTATTATTTTATGACACTCCGATCTAATGCCCTTTTTCGAATCGGTCGTTCAAAATAATAATTTAATTTATCACGAGCACCGGTTACGCGGATGTGGATTTTCCAGTTCACCTCGATCCAAAACCTCAAACCCCATCATACCCAAACTGCATCACGGCGTTACCGATGAAATATTTTGCACCTGCCCGCAATAATGCTTTTGCTAAATTATCGTACCATTTTGATATATTGTAACGCCCGGATATTTTAATGTCAAGTATCGCCCAATGCTTCGTTCGCTGTGGATGATCGAAGGTAACCTCAATGGGTAAGGATTTTTGAGTTGATTGCATTGGCAATAATTTATATTGAATACTATTGGGTAGTTTGTGTGTTTTTTTTTTTTTTTTTTTTTTTTTTTTTTTTTTCATTATTTTAATTTCGTCCTAGTAGTGAGCAATCTTAATGTTTTCGCAGTATGCGAATTTGGATAATGAAAGAAAAGTTGATAAGGGAATAAAAAGAGGGGATGGTGGACTTTATGAGAAACTGGAAAACTGCTTGTTAACTTGCAATTTTTTTTCTGGGGCAAACGAGGTAAACGAGGCCATACCAGATTGCTTTGTGTAAATATGTAAGGGTTGATACACGTGGGCGTAAGTGGGAGTTGTTAATTATTTTTAAAATTTACATACTGTTCCGTAAGAATTAACGGGTGCTTCGTAAACGCGTAGTCTTATGTCATGGGTAATTGCATTTTGCGTAATCAGTAATTTTAGAAATTTAATTGTCGCACTCGATCGTTTTACAGTTTTTTGTCAGTGTGATTTTTTTTTTTTTTTTTTGTTTCATTACGGGGAAAATTATTTAAACGATCATTTTGTGATCGTTGCTTCCTAAAAATATATTTTTGGATTTTCAATTTTTTTACGATTAAACGTTACGTTTCCATCATTTGTATATGGTCCATAGTGATCTAAGGAGACTGATCGTTGAAGTTTGTTGGATGTGGATCCTTATCATTTATCAATCTTTTGGAATGATTTTCTATCGGTTTATTTAAGCATAACGCGAAAACGTTATTTAGGTGATTCTATCGTACGTGTTACACCAAACATTGTTTCCGGCATCTCATTACAATTTCCCTACAACTCTGAGATTCTTGGATTGTATCCTACACAGTTCATATATAAGGAGAAAAAAAAAGTGAACGTATTCCCAAAAGGACGGAACTTCTCGATACCAATTTCCTCTTATTCGCGGAATCTGAGAAAGTGAGAAAAAGTTTACTCGTAACCTTCGACACCCTATGAGATTTTCCTCGGTTGAGGTGATATAGAAAAGGGAGAAAGTAGAACGTGAGAAAAGTAGAATTAGGGAGCGATAAAGAAGAGAGAAAAATGTTGACAAAACGAATAGAATACGAGACTGTTAAGATTATTGAAAAACAAAAAAAAATACAAATAGAAAGAAAAAACATTTTGTAAAATTATTCTAACGGGATGATATGTTTCGACAAATTTTTGAAAATGAATAGCTCAAATTTATTACTCAAAAACTTTTATCGGAAACTCAAAATTGTATGAAAAACAAGTTTTTCTAGTTTTTGCAAATTCATTTAGTCTGACAAAAGCATCGCGTTTCACTCCCCGTCGAATTTCATTAGCAAATAACCAGCCATCAGCGAACTGGGCAACTCAGATATGCGCGAAAGTTTAAACGGTATTTATTGATATCAACAAGTTCTCTCTCATGCATAATACATTTCCCGACTATTCGCATTTATTACATCAACGAGTTTTCTCCATAAATAAAACATTTCACATCGTTTCGATTTTTCGCATTTATGGAAACGTAGTGGCACTACTCCTCCACCTGACACAGAAGAGCGAAGTAAGAAAAGAAAAGACAAAAATAGGCACGCTGAAAGGATACTTAAAAAAAAAAAAAAAGTAAAAAGGCAAGAATTAAAATAAAAATCATTTTTCGCCTCTTTATTGACTCACAATTTCCACTCTCAATTCGGACGTTCTCTTTTTAAAACATTAGAAAGGAAAAATTTTTTTAAAATAAAAAATTACTCAGATCTTTGTCATGCCAAAACAAAATGCTCTGGCAAATCAAAAATACTCATAAATATTTTGAAGTGCCAAATATTTACAAAGGTCCAAATGCCTGTTTTAAGATTCTGAGATTCACGAGAAGGAAAAAGTCTTTTCTCATTCCTCGTTTTTCTTTTTTATTTTTGCAAATCTCACCATCACGCGTTTCATTGTTTTTCACGTGTGTCTGTTTTTCTTGTCTTTTCTTTTTTTCCCCGTAATTCTCTTCAATCATCCTAGAACGAAGTAACGTCGCAAACGAGGTACATCGATACTCTAGAATACGTGTCCTTATGTACAATTGTATCATATAATTGTATCCTCGTAAGGAAGATACTTTCCCAAAAAAAAAAACGTCCATTTTGCGCTCGCGAAAGGTATGAAATATAAAATTTCAACGATTCAGTCATAAATCACTCTTCTCTCAATCACAAAATGTACGTCACTTATCGATACCCAATTCCGAATTAACGAAAAACGAAATAGCGAAAGGCGGCATTATTTCGTGTCTAATTATAAAAAAAAAAAAAAAAAAAAAAAAA